TGACTGTTTTTTATTTCCACACATCGAGAAAAAAATGCGTGGTCAACGATTTTCATCGCCAGAAGATGCTGTTGCAGCATTTAAAAACCATGATTTGGAGGTGTCTCAATCGGAGTAGAAAAGTGCTTCGACAATTGGTTTGAGCGCATGCAAAAGTGTATAAATAAGGCCATTTTTTTCGCATTTTCATTATTAGGCCAGAAATATATATAGCAGCCCTCGTCTGTATGAATTTGTTGATATATATAACTTAATTAATGAAAATATAATGGTTTATAATTGTAGTGTCTTTACCAACGTAAAACGCACGCGTTTGAGTTGTATTACAGACTAACTTTATTGTATATTAACAAAAGCTTACGAACTAAACATTTTGAGTAATATAACTTATATTGAGTAATATACACTGTAACTTATAATATTATAAATATATTTATTAATTAAATATATAACAATAATGAAAAAAAGTATATATATAGTATAGCATAATAGAATTGGTGTATATTTAAATAATAATCCATTGTTAAAGTTTTGCTATTGCCATTGATATTAATGTCATATTATTTTCTTATTAAATATTTAATGAATATTTAATAAATTTATTAAATTCTTTTAGTGTTTAAAGATGGTGTTTTCAACTAAAAACTAAAGAACTAAAGAGTAAAGACAAAAAGAGAAAAAAACAGATTTTCAGTTGGATTTTACTTCACCTATTTTTCTAATCTAAGCTGTTTTATTAAAAAACAATTGGTAATCATGGATGATTAAATGTGTTAAAATTTGATTCGGAACAACATGTTCCATATGTTGGTTTGAACAACCCATATTTTGTTGAAAGATAGATATTTAGAAATCATCATGAAAATTCTTTCATACAAACATTTGTATTTGACATTAGGACCAACTTATTCATACATTGAATTTAAGCCATAAAATTTATTTTTTGCAATGTTGAATATTATGATATAATAACAAACTTATTGTTTGGAAATTCTACTTAATTTTAAAAAAAATATCTGCAAATACATGAGTCATTCTTAAAAAATTGCAGACCTTTTTACGTCATGACCTCCGATTTGGCAAACATATTTTTTTATGAGCTCCTTTTATGAAATAAGAAAGAGATCTCCTAGGAGATATGGGCCCATGAGGTTTTTAGAATTGACATTGTAGACACATATTCAAATGGCTATATTTCAAGTTCTATAAATGATAGGAACTTGAAATTTATTGCGTTTTGAAGATAATTGATTAATAATTTTTTAAAAAATTAAAATTCTTTATATATAGCTACTAATATTATTCTAATTATATTTCATTTTTTATATTTTATTTAAATTCAACTTTAAATTTTACTGCGAAATAAAAGTTTTTAGTATACCATTATTTTTTTAAATTTTTTAATATTTTTTTCTCCTGTGCAAAACACATCAAATACATGCGTACTATATTTACATTGAATAAATTTTCAAAGAATATACAACAAATATTCTTATATATTTTTGATTTCGATTAGTAATGAAATTCGACATAAAACCCAAAAATTTTTATTGCACTTATAAGTACTTTTAAAAATTAATTTATCCTTAACTTCACACCAAACACATATACACGAATTTTCAGTAAAAAAAAGGAATATGTCACATAAATTTTTCCTTTTTACTTTTTATTCAGATTAATCAATAAGTTCTACTTAAAAAATAAATATGTTCAGTGATATTCAGTATGATATTGCTTTTAGAAGTAATTAAAAAAAATTAATTTAATTAGATTAAGCAAATATAAAAACGACTTAACTTAAGTAATGTGAAAGAGTTGTATCTCTTCTTTTTTTTTTTATTTGGCACTACAGTCCAGTATGAACCTTGGTCTCCCCCACGATCACGATTCATTCGTCTTTGAAAAGTTTCTGCATCAATTTGGATTGGCCGGTAGATTTGGTGAACTATTTTTCTTTCAAAAATTTTTAAAACTTCTTCGTCCGCCTTCGTCATTATCCATGTTTCTAAGCCATACGTAGCTACTGGTCTTATTATTGTCTTGTACATTCGTAGCTTACTTTCCTTGGATAGTAGTCTTGATTTGTTTAAGTCTAAATATTTGTAAAAACATCTATTTGCTGCTTGTATTCTATTTCTAATTGCGATTCAGCAATCATTGTTGTTGCTAATCAGGGCACCGAGGTGGGTAAAGTTGCTGACAACCTTGTATTCACCAATTGATATGCGTTGCATACCCGTATTCTTGTTCCATCTTGCTAGCTTGAGGTATTTGGTTTTATTTTCATTTATTCTAAAACCAACTTTTTTAGTGTTTTCTTCTAGCATTTTGAAGACATTTGATACCTCTCTTTCACTCTTTGCAATGATTGCAATATCATCTGCATATGCACAGATCTGGTACGACTTTGTTATAATATTGCAGACATTTTTTGGGAGTGAATGGCGTAGTGTAATGTTAATATAAAAAAGAAGCCGAAAGGCTGTCACCCTGTTTAACTCCGGAGCTTATTGAAAACGACTCTGAGAGGTGTCTATTGATAATAACCTTGCCTGATGAGTTCGCAACGATCATTGCGACGAATCGAGTAATTTTTTGCGGGGCGCCCCGCTCACCCGATCATAATGAAGTTAAAACAGCTATAACGCGGCTCAAAAACAACAAAGCTGCAGGTGCCGATGGTTTACCGGCTGAGCTGTTTAAAGCTGGTGGCGAAAAGCTATCAAAATGCATGCTACAGCTAATTCGCAACATTTGGTCGGATTAATGCATGCCCAACGATTGAAATTTAAGTGTGCTTTGCCCAATCCACAAAAAAGGTGATTGTGCAAACTGCGCTAACTACAGCGGGATCAGTCTTTTGAATATAGCGTATAAGGTTCTGTCAAACGTATTATGTGAAAGATTGAAGCCAATCGTCAACCAACTGATTGGACCTTATCAGTGTGGCTTCAGACCTGGCAAATCCACTCTAGACCAGATATTCACAGTGCGTCAAATCCTGGAGAAGACTCAAGAAAAACAAATCGACACACACCATCTATTTGTCGACTTCAAAGCTGCTTTTGACACTACGACTAGAAGCACACTCTATGCCGCTATGTCTGAATTTGGTATCCCAGCAAAACTTATACGGCTATGTAAAATGACGTTGAGCAACACCACCAGCTCCGTTAGAATTGGAAAGAACATCTCTGAGCCGTTTGATACCAAACGAGGTTTCAGACAGGGTGACTCCTTGTCGTGTGACTACTTTAACCTAATGTTGGAAACGATAATTCGAGCAGCAGATTTAAACCGTACTGGCACAATATTCTAAAAAAGTGTAATGCTGCTTGCGTATTCCGACGATATTGATATCATTGGTCTGAACACCCGCGTCGTCAGTGCGGCATTTTCCAACTTAGAAAAACAAGCAAAACAAATGGGTCTTGTGGTAAATTAGGACAAAATAAAGTACTTTCTGTCAACAAACAAATCTCCTGAGCGTCTTGGGACCTACGTCACTGTTGACAATTATAAGTTCGAAGTTGTGAAAGACTTCGTTTATTTAGGAACCAGCTTAAACACCAAAAATGACGTCAGGCTAGAGATTCAACGAAGAATTACTCTTGCCAACAAATATTACTTCGGGCTAAGTAAGCAATTGAGAAATAAAGCCCTCTCTCGACAAACAAAAATCAGGCTCTACAAATACCTTATCATGCCTGTCGTGCTGTATGGTGCAGAAGCTTGGACAATTACCAACAGTGATGAGAAGGCGTTAGGAGCATTCGAGAGAAAAATTCTTCGGAAGATCTATGGTTCCTTACGCGTTGGCGACGAGTATCGATTAAAATGGAACGATGAGCTGTATGAGCTATACCGCGATATTAACATAGTTAAGCGCATAAAAATTCAGCGGCTACGCTGGCTTGGTCATGTCGTGCGAATGGAAGAAAGTGCTCCGGCTAGAAAGGTATTTGATTCGGTACCCGCAGGTGGAAAACGCGGTAGAAGACGTCCGCATCTTCGGTGGAAGGACCAGGTGACCAACGATTTGGGGGCCCTCGGTACTACCAATTGGCGTCAGAAAGCAACTAACTAATCGAGCTGACTGGCTACTCGACGCGGCCAAGGACGACACACGTGTATAATAGCCAACTAAGTAAAGTAAGTAAGCTCACCCTTGCCAGAGCGTTTATGATTTCTGATCTTTCGAGGCTATCGAAGGCCTGCCTGAAATCTACAAAGAGTGTGTGTAACGTGATGTTATGCTCATACTCTTTTCTACTCTTTAACATTTCACCGAATTTTTCACGTCGCCTAGACTCGGAAGATCGTAACCTGTCATCAGATGTAGTATTGCAGTTATTACCGATATCGCTTCATTTATGCTGTTAAAGTTTAATGAGTCGTTTAAATGCTCCTTCCATCTCTCTATGGCTTGGTTTGTTTCAGTGCGTACTACCCCATTCTTATCATTGCAAGCAAAAGCTGTTCGTTCATATTTGTTACCAATAAAATTTATTTGATTATAGTAAGCCCTTGTATTGTTTCTCTTTCTTTCTTCATCTATTTGCTTGATTTTTGTCTTGTAAAACTCCCTTTTTTCTTTCTACAAAGCTTATATGCAGTTTTTCTTTTTTCACGGTAGAACAGAGTAGCTGCTCTTGTCCTTCTACCATATATATCATATCCATTCTCGCTGTATTTTTGTTGCAATTGCTTCCATTCTACATTTCGAACAACTCACATCTCACCAATTGTTTCTTTTGCCGAATCGAATATTGCGCTTTCTATTGAGCGCCATTGCTCTTCAATGGAGTTCGCTTCGCTATGTCTTTCTTGAAACTTATTTTGTTTCAAGATTACTCGCTGTATCCAGATTACTCGCTGTTTTCAGTTTATCTACATACCATTTGCAAACTTTTCTTATATTTTGTTGTTCTATCTTAGATACTCTCTGTCTTATTGTAGATTTCACCAAATAGTGATCTCAATCACTAAAATAGTGAATCTCAATTAGATCCTCTGCAAACTTTAACATCGAGGATTGACGAAAAATGCCTGCCATCGACAAGAATGTGATCAATTTGATTTGAGCCTCTATTTCCCGGCACTCTCCACGTAGTCTTATGTATTCGTTTATGTTCAAAAAAAGTGTCCATTATTCTAAGATTTAGTTTTTGTGCAAGTTGTAACCGATTAAGGCTGGTTACTTCGTGTAGTGAATTTTTCCCGCATATTTCATTAAGGAATGGCTCCTTACATAGTTTCGCGTTAAAGTCGCCTAGTATCATTTTTGTATCATATTTGTTTATATTTTTGCTTGTCTTAATCAGAGTGTTATAGAAATGTTCCTTTTCTTCAACTTCTCTATCTTCTGTAGGGGCGTAGCAGTTTATGAAAGTTATGTTATTAAATTCACCTTTTACTTGGAGCTTGCATATTCTTTCATCTATAGGTTCAAAACTCATAATATTACCCTTATTTTTTTTGTCAATAAAGAATCCGGTTCCTTTTCTTCCCATTTTGCCCTTAACTCCATTATAGTAAAATGAAACCGTTTTCTTGTCGATTTTTCCATAATCCGCCCATCTTATTTCTTGAACTGAAAGTATTTTGAGGCTATACCTGCGCATTTCATCAGCTATTTCCATCATTTTTCCTGGTGTTAACATAGTTAATACGCTCCATGTTCCAAGGAGAAGGAGTTGCATATTCTTTTCAAACTCAAATATCCGAGCCTCGAATGTAGTTTTTCTAAATTTGAATGTTTACGACAACAGCATTGCGTTCTTGCAGAAGTAAGTGGATTACATTCAGTTTTGTGTGTGATCCATACATGAAAAATTAATGATGGATGAAGTAAATATAAAAACACTGACTGCATGCACTAGAAAGCTGATAAATGGCAATAAAGATTGCCTACAGCGCATGATTTGCAACACTTTACGCACAAAATGTTTTCAAGGAACCTGCGCCAAATGTCCTGCAACTAAAAACGTCAATCAACAATTTCTGGCGAACTTTGGTCACAACATCATTGAAACCGTCACATACAGACAATGCCTGTTAAAAAACGGGCATTGTTTATAAAGGATAAGAAAAAAACTTAGCAGAAAGTGAATGCATAGTTTTGTGTGATTTTTCCGAAAATTATGCTTTTGTTATTCAAACACTGTTTCAGATATTAACTGGAATAATAATCAGGCAACAATTCATCCGTTTGCAATACACAGCAAGTAAAAATTTTTGTATCGATTTTCTTGGCAAATTGATTTAATGGTATTATGGTGCGTATGAGTAACCTGAAGGGCGTCTAATAAATTATTAGGGGTATTCAGGCAACTGATTAGTTGCTTAGTTGATTCAAAAACTTCATTTAAAAAAAAAAATAGCATTTTGATGTTAATCTATTGCTTGAACGATCCAAGATGCGTAATCTGATTAGTTTGTTGTGTGCAAATGTCTTGGCAGCACTCGTACCAACAGCAAAAGTGAAACATACGTTTGCAGTGAAATATTCAAATATTCGTAAATTTTAATATCATTTAAATTTATCATAAAATTTATTATAAAATTTATCATATACCTAAAATAGCGAACGTGTCTTATATCAAGAAGTAGAATATTCAATTTTATACTTTTTAATTATATTTTATCCCTTTAAAAATTATAGTTTTACTAAATTTTATATATTAATTTATGTTATTATTTTTGCATTTTCTTTTTAAGACACCCTATGCTCATAGCGCCGACACTTGGTACTGGCAGCACTATTAATCAAATTTTCACTAATCTGAGAATCTCCGAAATAATAGATTCTCTGCTCAGTTTCTGTTTTGTATGCAAATTTTTGTTGTAATCATAACTAACTAAGTAACTAATCAGTTGCCTGGAAGTATTTCTCTTTTAAGTAGAATTTATTGATTAATCTGAATAAAAAGTAAAAAGAAAAATTTGTTTGACATATTTCTTTTTTTACTGAAAAATCGTGTATATGTGTTTGGTGTGATGTGAAGGATAAATTAATTTTAAAAAGTATTTCTAAGATATTTCTCGAGATACCGGTCCTTTTATTTCATGAAAGGAGCTCATAAATTTCAGCTAAATCAAAGATCATGAGGTTAGTTTTTGCCAACATTCGTCGGTTTTGTAAATGAATGACCCATATGTATGTAAAAGTAATGTGTGACAATATGAATTCTGGATTCTGACGAGACTACAGCATGAGACTTATGCCTGTCAGTTTGTTAATATGTATTGTTTTAGAAAAGCTTAAGCAAATACATCCAGAATATTTTATATAGACAGAGCAATTAATAATGTTGTCCGACCCAAAAGAATCTATTTTTATTTCCTGCAGATAGCTCGTACTTTCTATTATATAAGTTGGAAAATATTAAAGCAAATTTTTTTTGTTTTGTTTTTTTAATTAGTTTTATTATTTAAGGTTATTTATAATTTTAGATAACTAACAAGAAATTTAAATTTAATCAGATTTCGGGGATTCCAAACAATAATAAATCAATTGTAGTACATTTTAATAATTCAAGTTTAAAGATCGCAAGGCTTTTGGCGCTTTGGACGCCATATTGGCTCAGTTGTTGCTAGTAAATGCGCTTCAGCTTTAATGTGGAAACTAAATCTATCTTGGTCTAATTTAGCGTTGGCATAAATTTCTTCCTGCACTGTTGACACTCCGAGGTCACGATGTAAGTCAGAATTTCTCACGTACCACAGCGCGTTTGTTACACTCCTTAGCAGCTGAATTCCATACGTCAAGATTGGCTGCAGCATTTGTTTATATAATACAAGTTTATTGAAAAGCGATAGTTTTGATTTTCTGCCGATTAACCATGTCAACAATTTGAATTTAAGATTTAATTCGGTTATTTTCTTTTTTATGTGCGCGCTCCATTTTAGTTTAGCTTCTAAAGTCATAGGATTTGTGCTTCATCGATATAAATAGGTATATAACTGACGTTTCGATTTGTGAAATTTACATGCACTGATTTTTCTTTATTCAGATAGATTTTCCATTTCCTTGTTCAAGCAATTATATTGTCCATACTATTTTGCAAATTATTAGCTGCTATTACTGCACTTTCTCCAACTGCAAGGACTGCAATATCATCAGCAAAAGTTGCTGTGAACGTCGTTGCACTCGTTGGTAGGTCGTGTGTATAAATTAGATATCAGAGGAAACCCAAGAAACTTCCTTGTGGAACTTCCTTAATTTTATGCAATTTGCTATAGGGTTCATTGTGCTTTACTCGAAAGCAACGATCAGATAAGTAAGAGGAAATTATGTCATAATACTCCGTCGGGAGAAAATTTTTTTTACTTTGGTAAGCAATCCGCAGTGCCAGAATTTATCGAAACCCTGCGAGACATCTAAAAATACGGCTGAGTAGATATTTTTCCCGCAAGAGTTTTCTCTATTACATTGGTAAACCTAAGAACTTGATCTAGAGTGGAGTGATTGCATCTAAAACCGAACTGATGTAAAGGTATTAAGTTTTGACTTTCAATCAAAGGAAGGATTCTTTTAAGTCAGATGTTTTAAGTATTTTTGAAAGAACAGGCAGAAGTGCTATTGGTCTGTAAGCACTGACGTCATTAATATCCTTTTCTGGCTTAGGGACCACGATCATTTCAAATACTTTCCATAGGAACAGAAGGGTTCGCATCTGTATTATAGCGTTAAATATAATCGTAATTTTGACTGTGCAATTTGCAGGAATTTATTTTAATACTTCAGCAATTATCAGTTCATAACCTAAGGTTTTTTCAGTTTAAGTTCATTTTTAATAATCGTCATTACCTCAAGCTCAGTGTTTGGTGAAATTCAGGATGCATTTGTTGTCCTAAGTGTGCAAATTTCTGCATTGTTAACGTTATCGTCTATAGAAAACACTTCTGAGAGGTGTTCGGCAAAGACCTCCACTTTTTCTTCATCGCTTTTAGCCCATCGATTAGCGTGGGTTCTAATTGAGGCTTTGTGTACTAAAGGTCGTTTATAATTTGGTATATTTCCAGAGAGAATAGTTGGTTGTACGATCATTAGTTAAGTTATATAGGTAGCAGTTGAACAGTTTATTTCTAAATTGCTTGATTTTTAGGCTGAATTTTTTTGCAAGTCTGTTAGGAATGGTTTTATTTGCTGGATATCTCGATTGCTGACACTTTTTCCGTATTTTTTTATTTTTCCACACAATATCCAAAATGGCTTTTGGGTATTTATGAGGATAGGTTGCATTCCTTAATATGGGCATGATGCACCAGTCTGTATATTTATTTTGAAGTATTAGATATATTAAGGCAGATTCGTAGAGGATTATGTAGAGAGGCGAATAGACGGAACTTAGTTCTGCTCCATCTGTTATTTTTAAATATTAGGACGAAATTTGCTTGGTTATAAAGAAATCGAGTAGATCAGTCACCTTTGTTGGGTCAGTTGGCCAGTAGGTTGGGTTCCTGGATGACATGGATTCACAGCCAGTTTGCTGTATAACTTTACGGAGTTCTCTACCTTTTGTTGTAATTAGGCGAGAGCCCCAAAGCATATGTACATAAGATCTTTGTATTGTTCGGATTTAATTGAATGCCTTGGAGAACCGTATACCGATGTTAGCAGTAATTTGCTGTGTAAGTTATGGACAACAGTTATTGCTTGAAATTCGTCTTTGGATATTTCTGTAGACTCGTAGTGTTTTAACGATTTTTTAATTAAAATAGCATTTCCTCCGCGATCGCAATTACTAGAATGGACTTCGCTATAGGTATACTTCATAATTTTTTAGTTTAACATATGTTTGGTTTGTAAAATGAGTTTCGCTAATTAAGCAAACATCAACATGTTTGACTGATGGGATTGTTTCAAGCTCTTTGAGGTGTTTAAGAATACCGTTCGAGCTCCAAAGTATTATTTTTATATAACTAAGCATTATTTGTTTTTTTGCTCTTACCTAGTCAAGCGTTTGTCCAATGTTGTATAGAAGTTTTCTTGAGTGGCAATTTTTTCCAGTATTTGTGTTAATATTTTGAAATTTCCATCGCATCAAACATCAGTTTGATTGTTTTCAGGTTGGCTTCCAACCGATTTATGATAACGTTGGTTGCCCGCATATTAAAGCAAAGTAACAGTAACAGTAAGACGATATTCTTGGAAAGAAGTAAAGCTGTCTTTGTATCAAAAGTATAAGAGTATTAAAATTAAAAGAATAAAACTAATGGAAATGCTCCACACTGATACCTGTTCATACGTAAAGCACAACTACAGCGAGCATTAAACGAAGTCCCTATTTTATCGACATTCTGTTTTAGTGAAAGTTGTATAATGCAACGAAAGTTCATCAGAAGCAATCAATTTCTTTACTCTATATAAATAATTCGCTGCTCATTTCGAGGTTATTCTCCATGCATACTATAATGGCATAATGATTATTAGTCCTTCTAAAGAATTTCTTTAATTTGACTGAGGATAAATTGACGCTCACATTTATGAAGACTGAAATAGGGAAAGGCCTTGCATCGTTCATTTCTGGCCAATTCATCAGAGCTACAATTGCCAAAAATGGTCATCTGATTTGGCACGTATTTTATGTTTACCAATAAATATGTCAACACCTCATTCATAGACCTACACCATTCCGCAATAACATCTCACGAAGAC